AAACAGATTAATCGGTGAGTTTGTTCTTTTTCACTTCCGTTCTAGATAGCCTGGAACCCCCTATTGAGTGAGCGACCTGGGATTTTTAGGGTCGTTTTGTGTCATAAAAAGACAGATCGAGTTCGAAGGTGAGCATTCTAGCTCAAAAATTGGATTTAAAAAAAAATTAAAAAACCACAGGTCCCAAAAATGACTGCTTTTAAAAATATTTTTTTCTGGTTTCCTAGGGGTAACTCATAAAAGAGAGTCTCCGGGCGAAAATTTTGTCCGTTTTGCTCTAGCTCCAACGATTTAGACGCTAGAGGGTATTTTTGACGAAAATAAGCGAAATAATGTACAACTATGCATGCTTAGTCTAAGTGACGGGGTTGATGGGCCGGAGGCCCGAATCTTTGAGTACATTTTTGCTCTACCCGACTCGCGTGTCAGCGCCGCAGGCCAAGGTAGATGTATGCCAGGCGCGTCGCAGCGTAACAGTGTTTCGTGAGATATCGCGAAGCCTGTTACGCGAGACGTGGTCTGGCGTACATCTACCTTGTGTATAGTTAAGGTAGAATCTATTCTTTTGCGCCCGATTTACCCATTTTTTTTTCCGTTGTTCGACTTTAATAGCCAAATTTCAATTCAAAATTTCAAAATCTGTTACACACTGCCCCCACACTCCCTTACGAGCTCTGGTACTAATCTGAGTACTCAAGACTTTTGACCCTAAATTTTCGTTTTCGGTCCAGGGTGCGTCTGTCCTACTTTGTAGTCAACAGTGCATTGCGCACGTGAACAGACCGTCACACATTAGTATAGTTGAATAAGGCTACATTCATTATATACCGACGGAAAGCATGCGGAGTCGTCAGCGAGAGCCAACGACTTCCGTTTCGCACAATGGTTCGCGTGACGGCTGCTCAATCAAATGACAACAAATTTCGCTTGGCCCTATTGCAGACGCACAGCGCTCTGACGCTGGCGAAACCACGCAACTCCGCGGAGCCTCCGCCAAAGCACGCAAAGCGGTCCGGCGCTGGCCAAACCACGCAACTCGATTTTTAGGGTGATTTTTGAGACCTATACCGTTGGAAAGAGGACGTTTCCCTTTTCCAATATATACTGTTATCTCAAAATTTTCGAATAACATCGATACGTATGGTTTCGCCAGCGCCTAAGAACTTTGCGTGGTTTCGCCAGCGCCGGAGCGCTGTGCGTGCTTAGACGGAGGCTCTATGGAAATGCGTGCTTTGCAATAGGGACAAGCGATTTGTGAAGTGATAAGTGGTCTGTAATCAATACAGTACAAATCGCTAGTCATGTGACAAAACATTTGTCCGGAGATGAATGATTTGTTTTTTGCAGCGTGGCGACTGATGTGTCATTATCTTTTAAAGAAAGGAGTCATCACACATGTGACGACTAATGTGTTCTATAGGCCGAGAGGAATGTTTTGTCACGTTATTGGTTATCACTTCACAATAAGTTTTGACTTTGTTTCTGTTTCTAGAGTAAAACCTACCGGACACCTTAAAGTTACTCATGTATTCTGAAAATCTAGTCCAAGGGTTTTTAACGAGGGGGAGACGGTGGTTAAACTTTGTGTAAGGGGTAGTCCACAAATTACTTAGACGGCAGAGTGACGGTCTCATACCGAAAGCATTGGAAGGTTAGGTCAGGCGCGTGACGTGGGGGGAGTGGGGTCAAAAACTGCCAAAAATAGCGTGACGTAGTATGTGGATGAGCCCTAAGCCGGATAACTCGCATTACCTCTGAAGTATCATCCGGATTACGTTGCTTTTTCTCGAGGATTACCCCGCAATACCCTAAAATTTGCCCAGGATTATTAGATCTTTTTCGAATTTCCTCGGATCACACCTGCCGGATTACCTAGCGGCTGTCAGCCGAATTACGTTAGCCGTTTCCCCCTCGGGTTTTAAGGTATCAGCTGCTAAAAATATTTCAGCAGTTTTCATACCAATTGGCACCCTGAAAGGACCATTAAAACCCAAGAATCGAAAACAAGCTATTTACGCCTTACCCTAACCATGAGGACTAAGGTCTAGCGTATGTCGCTTTATTCTCGATTCTGGGGTTGTAATGGGGCGTTTCTGATGCAATTATAGATGAAAACTGCTGTTACAATTTATGTTCTTGTTTTTGAACTATTTTTTTCTGTTAAATAAACTTGCCTTTTCTCTTCCGATAATAATTCGCATCTCAAGTATTTTTTTATTTTTATT